GGACCAAGAACTCTACGGTCCTTGGTGAAAACAAGACACCCAAAGGTTCGAAAACATATGTAATGATTCAGTCGTCACCCGAGAGGAACTTATCGACCTCTCAATCAATTCTCAGTCATGCAATGAACAACAAAATCAAATAATCTCTAGCCTACGAGGATGGTAGTTTATTCTATTTATAAAAGTTCCTATTTCTACCGTAGAAAATTCAACCACCACAATCAACAACAAAATCACATAATCCTTAGCCTACGAGGATGATAGGCTACTCTACTTATTAAAGTTCCTACTTTTACCAAAAAAAATTCAACAAGAGAAAAACTTACGAGATCTAGAACCACACTAAGGGGGTGATTGTTTATGAATTCATCTAGAAATTAATTAGTTTTTTTTTTAACTATAGTTACTTTTGAAAAAAAGTTAGTATGGTTAGTTGTTAGTGGATATATGAAAATAATATTTAAAATAAAATAATTAAAGTTGATATGATGTAAAAGTAAGAGAAAAATGATTAGAAGTGGTGGTCAGTTAAAATTATGTGAAAAGATGAATAGTGAATTAAAGTTGATGTGATGTGTAAGAGTGATTGGTTGATATTATTTAATTATATTGATAATATTGGAGATAGTGGAGTTGGGTTAAAGTTGAGTTAAGCTTGAGTTTTGATTGGTTTTTTTATAGGTGAATTGATAAACAATCACCCCCTAAGTTACCAAGTCTCTAGAACCATCCAAGAGTAGAAATAAACCACAAAGTTAAATTCTTGATGAAGAAGTATTACTACAAAAATTGGTCTTAAAACCCTTAGAGAGAGAGAGAAACTAAGAAGAGAAAATTTTCAAATAAGGAATTAACTCTAAACTACTAAGGATTACATGTATTTATACTACTAGCCAAAACACACATTTAATAAAGAACACTTGTTGTACATTCCAACGTTTTCGCAGGCGAGATCAGAGCATATTTGTGGGCTGCTTAGGCTAGAAAACTTGCGGGGTGTGTGAGATTTTCTACAGGGCGCGGGCTTTGTGGCAGGCTTGGACATGCACCTAGCAAAAACTCGCGAGGCAGGCTAAGTTTTCAGCAGGCATTCGACACTCGCGAGTTTGCGGTTGTGGCCTAGGCAAAACTCGCGAGGTGGGCGAATTTTTCCACGGCGATGGGCGCGGTCGCGAGTTTGGCTGGTGGTTTGCGTGAAAACTCGATTGGCGTACTAGAAAACTCGTCCAGGTCATAAGTTATACATGGGATTAGTAGGATCTTGAAGGCATGCACACAGGCAGGCGTGCCCGTGCGCTGGGGCGTTGGGCAAGGCTAGCAGGCGACAGTTGGAAGGCTAAATTGTTTTTGTATATTATATGCAAGGGCGACAAGAGGAAATTTCTCGCTGACAAAAGGCGTCCAACAAAGTCCGACATCTTCTTACGTTAAGTAAATAGAGATTCCGACCTCATGTCGTGTCTCTCAAGGAAGACTATTCGGAGTTTCGTTCACTTAGCTAGTAGTCAAAATGACAAAAATTGAAAATAAGGTCAAATATTCTAACAAGATGGATTGGTTGATTTTTAACTAAAATTACCTTAGGAATTAAGAACAATTAACTAAAGGTGCAAGCTTTAAAGAAAGATCTAAACTTTACTTTAATCGAAGTGTTCAAAACACGCAAAAAGACACAATCAAAGAGAAATAAGCTAAGCCTAACACAATTAGAAGCTAACGTTGAACGATCAATTGTGAAATAATTGACTTTTTATCTAAGTTTCGACTTTTAGTTCGAAATATTCAAGGTTTAACAAACTAATTATCATAGACAAGCAAAATAAGACAAAAAAAAAAAATGAAAACTTTAACTAAAACCGAGCTCTAATTCCGATGAAGACACTATTTTGCTTCTAACACAAAGTAAACAAAAATAGAGCAAAAATCAAGATAATACGTCCTAAACTAGGTACTTACTTCCCTAATGCATGCCTGAGCAAATAAACGCGAAAAGATCGGAAATTTACTCAGAAACGTGCATTTCCAAATGACTCTCATTTGAATAACCTAGGTAATAATCGTCCAAACGACTTTACACGTCAACTCCCTTCTTCTTCTTCTTTTTTATTTTATTACCCCAAGCTAGGTGAATGAATCCTATCCATTCTTATATTATGATATGATCCTAACCCTACACGTGCATGGCATGAACTGTCATTGTACAATCCAACCGTTGCAGCATTTTGGCAGCTAGTACTGTAGTCCTTCATGGTGTAGCAACATGCTTCAGGTGTTGTTCTTGTTTTGTCTTCATGCACATTGTTCCTTTCTACATCGTCATGCTTAGGCAGCTCATGAAGCTTCTCCACATCATCATGCTGGGTAAGCCGGTTGAGTTGGATAATTTTACACTTTTGAAAATTAGATAAGTCCTAAAGACTTATCTGAAATTTCAAAACTTTCAATATGTTGCAATTTAGATCTTGAGTATATCCCGCAATTTAGAAAAAGTTTGATAAATGCATAATAATATTAAGTGAAATACACATTACTATGTGTTGATATACAGATTAGAAACATTGTCATATTTTTACGAAATATCACTGCATGCATATTTAAAAGTTTACAATTTTATCAAAATGAATTGTGTTACAAAATTCACAATAGAGTTCGACAAATGCACATTAATATTGTGAAAATGTACAATAGCGTCTAAGCGTATTCTGCGCAATGACGAATGCGTTCGCGTAAGAAAGTGCTCAATTCTAAAAAATGTTTCCAACCCTTTAACCAGTGTTGAAGTGTTTGCCCGACCTAGAGTGTTGATATATTAAACCGAACAGATATAATTTATTTTTATTTCATTCACTATCATCCAATTCTCATTTATCCTACTTTCTCTCTATCAATATTTTCGTTAATGGATGCTTATTGACCGATGCTTCTTTAACAAGCCTAGCTTTTATTTGTAATGTGACCAACAAGCTCATCTCCAAGATCATTAACGGTCACCTTGCCCCTCTCCTCCCTTCCCTCATCTCTCCGAACCAGAGTGGTTTCATCAAGGATCGAGTCATCAATGATAACATTTTTCTGGTCCAGGAGATGTTCTACGGCATCTCCAATGCGAATCGATTACGAGCCCCGAACCTTGTGCTGAAGCTAGATATGGCTAAGGCATACGATAGGGTCGAGTGGTCATTTCTCAGGGAGGTTTTGTTTTGGATTGGCTTCCCT